TTCTTCTCTCTATTTCTTATATTGTCTTCTAATTCTTATTTAATCATTCTTATCTTTCTATATTTTGTCCTATTTCTCATTTAAAGTTGCTTATTTTTCTAGTTATTTCCATCCATTCCTTCCTTCCAAAACTTGAATTCACTTTCATCCATTCATTCACTCATATATTGTCCGATCATTTTTAYCCATTCCCATATCGCCTCATTTACTAGTATCGATAAAGAACTTGTATTCGAAAAAGTATTTTGTATAATTGTGCGGCTTATGGTAGTTTGCAAAACGAAACGAAATCTGTAGTTTGCGAAACTGTAGTTTGCGAAATGAATTAAAAATTAACCAATTTAAAGGCTTTCATAAGCCCTAGCAGTTACTTTTACTCTTGCACACTGTATTTATCATCCAGAACAACGTTATTTGGATGAAGTTGTTGTTCGCTACTCGAACTGGCCGCCATTTTGGTGACACAGGAAGCCCGGACACAACACATCCCGATGCGGCTGGTAAGCTTTTCACAAAGCCGCCGGTATCGCTTTTTTCTCCAAGTTCGGGTTAAGAATTTTTTTTATCTCCGATCACATGGACGGCGGAACCGGGGGACACAATAATTTCGTCCGAAGTCCAATGAACACTCAAGAAGGTGGGATGTTCTAATTATATGATTCGATTAACGAAGTATGTAAGAGTTAGTTACTACTGCTAAGAATATTTGATAACAATATTCAAATTTCGATTGCTCGCTTTCGCATGAACAGGTTTTCTTAAAGGAAACTAATTTCAACAGTCCATGAAAAAGTCTCAAGAGAAGAGGATTCTATTGTTCGAAACCCAACTAAGAAAACATTCATTAAGTCTATTCAGTTTTTGCGAAAACCACGTGAATTGAAAACTAAGTTTGTTAGTTACCTCGCACGTCGGCATTACGCTATATACAGCCCTCGGGCCTGCGGCCCTCGGGCTGTATATAGCGTAATGCCTCCGTTCTCGGTAACTAACTCTTACATAATACATGCG